TCTGCGCGGACAGCGTCAGAACCGGACTGCCTCTGGATGAAGCGGGCGTCATGCCCCTCCATGTACTAGAAATGTGGTCCCACGTTGCTCACCACGGGAGTTGGTTCTCTGGCCTAGTGAACTTTGTGTGGCATCACTAGGGTGCGGTCTCGGGCCGCATACTGATGCCATTGTCTGAGTGCCTTGGTCCCTCCTTGGCCTCCCATGTCTTGTGAAGGGGGGTTCCGCCAATCTGCGTATGAACCTAGGTATGAGAGCCCACCGTTTCATCCATCTGTTCCTCTGATGGCTGCATGAACCGAACGTGGGAGAGAGGTGTACGCTCGGTCTCCGCCGAGTACACCGTCCGTTCAACATCCAGCTCGTCTGCCATGCGTCGCATGGTTTCCGCCAGCTCCCTCATGATGTGAGGGTCCTTTCTGGCTTCTAGGGGATCAAGTTGGTGACATCCCCACGGGTTCATAAGCTGTTGGACCGCCCGCCGGATGACTGAGAGTGTGTTCTCCTGTTGTTTGCCAACTGTTCGGATAGGTCACAAGTACGCTTAGAGTTGTTTCCTGCCATCTTGCTTGCTTATAGGGTTCGTAAAGAGCTGATTTGGTGTGATAGCTTGTTCGAAAACTTTTATATCAGTTTCCCATAGACGGCGCCAGTGTTGATGTTTGTTCCTTCAACTCCAAAGGCCCAGCACCTTCTGGTAGGTTCCCTAGATTTTGATGATTAATATGCATTGTTTTGATGATGTCACCCCTTTTTATTATCCCTGTATTAGACTATTATCTCTTGTATTAGTTCCATTTCGTTTATTGTAATGTGCTCATATATTAGTGATAAAGTACTCAAGAAAATCTAAGAGTACTAAAAAGAGAAAAAAATGTACCATAAAACAAAAAGAAAAAAATAAAAAAGAAAGGGCACGAAAAAGAGTTAACTGGCATTCATTGAAAAGGAAGCCAATTGAAACACAAGATTTCAGCAGTCAGGTGAAAACTTGGCAGCCCGCTGAAAATCATGTTTTCCAGTTAAAGCATCCGAAATCAAACTCACTCTTCTCTTAGCACAAAAACAATTAAACAAAAGACCAACTTGCAGTCAAAATAACAAATTGATAGAAAGTAAATTTATTAGAGATTTTTATCACATTATAAATTTATCATGAATTTATTTTACTAAAAGCAAGTATTTGTTATTTGTAAGGAAGCATTAAAACATCACTCGGCCTTTTATACTAAGTTTCTACGCACAAAAGAAACAAAGATAAAACATCTTTATCTCTGCATTGAAATGAGGAAACAAGTTGAAGCGGAGATATTGATTTTTGTCACAAGAAGACAAAGACCAACCATGTTGCCTCAATCAAGTGGAACAAATGCAAGTAGATCAAGCTACGGTCAAGATTGATTTCCTCAGTCAACGGTGGGGATTCAATGATCAGTCTATAAATACAGAAGGAGTGTGGGAATACCAATTGTGGTAAAACGAGAGGAGCCAAGTGGAATATAAGGGAATCAATTTTTACATGCTCACATCCAGTCAGCTGATTCTCCTTCACCACTTCGGCTGCCACCCCACTCATCTAATGCTCTTAGATTAGCTACAATTCATACAAACCTATAGAGCTTAGATTAGTTGGTAGTTTAGATTTACACTCATGTAAACTAGACTAGTGTTAGACATTCTGGAGGGCTTTGTGTTCAAACCCAGAAGATGAGAAAGAGCAAGGACATGAGTAACTCTTGGCAAGTCAATGTCATTAGTGAAAAATCTTGGGAGGACTGAGTAGCTTGGAATGGTGTTGAAATTCCTTGTGAAAAACCTCACAATCTACGTCTGGGCTAAGGGTAAATTGGGCACTAAATGTAGTGGGATATTCATTTAGTGGAAATCCTTCTGAAATATGCTGGGAATGGATGTAGGAGGATTACACCACCTCTGAACCAGGATGCATCTTGTGTCACCTTTTACATTCTGCTCCTAACATACACTTCAGTTCTCAGTCACATTCACAACTACAGCAAAACAACTTGGTAACTAAAACTATCCAGTGAACCTTTCCAGGTTACTGTGAATCATCTCTTTGTTTCTGCTCATCAAAGTGATCTATTCCAATAGTTCTAAATCCTTCATACATATGTGCTTTGTCTATCCTAAACAGCCAAACAATGTTCAAGGTCATAGTTCTTCTCTATGCCTCAAACATTGATAAAGCAGCCAAATCAGCAGCCTGCTCCTGAGGGGTTCAGCAACCAGCTCCCAATTCTGACAGCCAACTCATAAGGATTCAGCAGCCTACTCTTTGAGCCAGCTGATCTTGGCATAACCTTTGCATCCCGTTTCATCCATCTCCTCACAACTAAAGGGGTCATAACCTTTGTTTCTATCAAGTGTCACACTGCTGAGGTCAAGACTTCCGCTGTATGTTTCAATATCTCCCAAAAGATATTGGAACTCATTTTGTTAGAGGAAAAAGGGTTGAAAAATGAAAAGATTTAAAAGTCTATTCACCCCCTAGACTTTCACCTCACATGGGACCCATCACTTTCCCTTGGGGTTTCAAGCGGAGTATGTGGTGCAAGCAAGTAAGAAAGAACAAGTAATAAGAGTAGTAAGTGGGTCGTATCTTATTCAATCAACAATAAGAGGTCCGTTACAACACACTTCGCTACAAACCCGACGGGCCGATCGCCTGTCTGAGCTAAGAGGAGGGGGGATAATTGTTATTGCTAAGGAGTATAAGTTCTCAATAAAATTATGAGACTTGCTATTACCGTCTATATATGCACCCAATAAAATTATGACCTCTTATATTTGCACGCACATCAGTCGTTCTCATCCGTATTGCTATTTGAAGGCAAAGGTTTCAAGAGGTATTCCATTAACATTTTAACAGTTCAATTAATTTATCATCATTGAATTCATGACTTACTTTCTGTGAAGCATTTGTTACCAAAACTTCATCCCTGAATTATGATGAATGATGATTTATGTTGTTGGATTTTCACTAAAAGTGATATAATGATATGCTATTAACATATCATGATTAACGTATCATGATATGCTATTAACTTAGATTCATGAGGCATACTGTATTCATATCGGTATTCGATCTAAATTTAGTTGAACTAATGGATTATCTTCCTCTCTGACTAGGAAAGTGAATTTCTAGGGAAGTATTTCATATGGAAAGTATATCAAACACCCTCTATGAACCAAAATTTACCCAAGCTACAGCTTTATCACATAACTTGCGGAAAAACTACAGTTTTATCGATTGGGAAGTTTAAATACAATGTGAAGATGGAAAAACTACATCTTTTTCACTTGATAGTGTATCATATTATAAATATTCAATCACCGAGTTGATCATTTTAAAAATTGATTTGGTAGGTTCATATGTAGAGCTTTTATCAAAACAACTGCTACCTTTTGTTTATTTTGAACTCTGTTTTTTTTGGTTAAATAACAAAGTGTTGTTGCTTTTTTTAATCATAATATGAGGAGTGTTACTGTTTTTTTGTGTGTAGGACATGGCACCAGTTAAGAAAGTCATTTCCGATGTCACACCTAATTTGGATGTGCGTGCTGCGTTTCTACTTCGTGTTGCCAGAAAATGGACGCCGGCGAGAAACATATATGAATTAGTATTGATGGGCGAAGAGGTGATAAAATACATCTGTTATTTTGTTTATAGTGCTTTATTTGACATTTTTTAAAAATAGTTGAAGGATAATCAAACCTGAACAAATCTCTAAGATAAATTTCTTAGAGATATCATATCCTACGGTTCCTACCTATATTAAAGTTCTCTTTGTTAGTTTTACTACTTGAATGTTATTATGCTAGCCTTTACTACTTGACTGTTATTGTGCTTTCTCCCATAACATGGTGCATATGCAACTTGCAAAGAAAATGCAATATCTTTATTATTTTAACAGTCCTTCTTGAGTAGCATAGATCCAAGACACCCGCGTCTCTTGATTTTTTTCAAAAAACTGTTAGAACCATTCCATTTTGAGTTTTATCCACATCTCCTATATAAAGACCCATCTGTATATTTAGGGAAAAGGACCCACCACTTATTATGCAAATCTATATCAAAGGACCCATCTGTGTATTGAAACATCAATATTTGCGTGATGCGTGCAGGTTTGTAGTTTAAAACACATATTGTAATTGACATAGTCATCAATATTAATTGTAAGTCATCCACAATGATGTTTATGTCAATGGGGTGCATAACTGATGGAAGCAACTTATTGTCATCCTTAAAGTCCTTGTAGCAGCCCCGAATTAATTGATAAAACCTTCCACTTGGTGAATAGTTAATCATTTAGTCAAACTGATTATTGAGAACAAACTTATGTGATAAAGCTGTAGTTTTTTTTTGTCAGACCTGGAACTCTTAACTTGGAACAATATGATTATAGCAGTCCTCATAGACTCACTCTTTATTTCAATGATTGAAATTTTCTAAGTGCAGAGAATTCAAGTTTTATTAATTATGTTAAAAGTACATATTAACATTAAAACAAACTCTAGCTTTATCACGTAAGTTTTTATCTCAAGGGTTGAGATTTTCTAAGATATATTTCTTTTAATTCTCTTCTTCACTACTTTCTTGATTTAAAAAAAACTACAGCTTTATCACATACGTTTGTTCTCAATGATAATTTACCTTTTCAGTCATTGAAAGCTATTATATAATTTGTTTATTATTGGCACCTAATTCATATTTAGGGTAAATTCATCCAAGTCACGATTCCGCTCCACTTGATTTCGTAGCTTGAAGATAAATTCGAAGAGGGAAAATTGTATGCAATAAAGAACTTTGAAGTAAAAGAGAATCAGGGCAATTGGAGGCCAACTCCCCATCCATATCATTTGTACTTCACAGATAATACAAAAATCTCTTTCCAAGAAGATAAAAAGCATGACTACTTCAGGCAAAGCGTCTATAAAATCACAGAGTTTTCTGATATTATTAATGGCCCCGATGTAGTGGGTGCTAATTTGTTGGGTATGTATTAGTCACAACAATTGTATTAGTACATCTTTACAATTTTCATATAATTTGCACTTAACAATTTGATTGTTTTTGTAGATGTCATGGGTGCATACAATCCGGACGATGCTCCATTCAAACCAGATGACTTAAGTAAATCTCGGTGTAGATTTCAGATAACCAATCTACAGTTAATAGAATTTTAATTACTCAATATATAATTTAACAAGCATATATATTTTTATTGTTCTTTAATCATTAGTTTATAATTTACATCCAGGAACATTAAATTTTGGTGCACATTGTGGGGCGATTATTCTGCTCAATTTTTGAGGTTCTTAGAAGTTCCCAGACAAAATCTTGTTATCGTGCTCCTGCAATTGGGACGAATAAACAAGCGTTTTGGTAGTTCTGATGAGCGGTTTTTCTATATTCAAATGTCTTAAATATATTCTACATTTTTAAGGAAATGACCATCATGATTTAATGCAGCCGGTGATACAAAGGGTGTGTCTTCAACATTACATTTCACAAAATTGTTGTTGGATGATCACATTCGTGATATTGAAGAGTTTCGAGAGCGGTATATATTATTTTTAATAGAATTTGCAATACATATTTACAATTGCATTCAAATTAGACTGTGAATTATTTCGATAACGATAATTTTGAACCGATTTCTTTCTTGAGCTATATGATGATGATGCAACAACAAACGCCATCCACTAGCGCGTTTCAGGCGCATCTAATGCATCTGCATCCACTTCTAATGATTCTGGTTTCACTAGAACGCTTTCAGAGATATCCATTACGAAAGAGGTAAATACTAAAATTTAAGTCTATATAATTTTTAAATCATATTAAAAATTATTTAAATTTAGGCAAAGCGTTATGTACTTAGTTTATCAATTTCATTATTCTTAATTAGATGAATTTCTCTTAAAGTTTTACGTTATGATTATTGGTATATATCATTTGCAAATGTGACAGGTGCGTGGTTGTTGGTTCTATGCTGAGATATATTCAATAATTTCATCACGGGGTTGGGCTTACCTTGCATGCAGCGAGTTAAAATGTTTTAAGAAGTTGAATGAAGATTATGTTTGTGAAAAGTGTGGGATACATAGACCTAATGGCATCTGGCGATATACATTGAACTCAAAGTCAGGCACGGAAAGCATTTTGCAGATGTCATGTTTTGGGATGATGTGGCACGCTAACTGTTTGGAAAGGTTACTGGGGATTTTAGTGAACATTCAGATGCGGTAAAATATAATATTTATTTCATTTATTGTACATTTCTATATCTATATGAAATTTTGTTAGTATGTAACATCTCAATATGCACTAGAGGTAATATTAAAAATCTGATAAATGTCCAATGGTACTGCATGGTTGTGGAAGTAGACCATAAATTAAGTCCATTTTTACTTGTGATGTTAATTTGTCTGTTATTTATAACTTTAACATTTTATATTTTAATTTGTAGGATAATCATAGAACAAAAAGTTGTCCTGAGGCAATAAATGAATTGGTTGGACAATAGTATCTTTTCAAAATTAACCGTGCAGATTCGGTTCCGGGCAATGCTGGAAAAATATACGTCATAAGTATGGTTTCACAAAACAAGGAAAAAATAGATGAGATAAAAAATGCAACAACTGAAGAATCAATTAGTGAGGGAATATATAGCTATTAATACATGAATGAATATGTTACTTTCCTATTTTTCCAATTTCAATTCAAAATAATCACTTAAAATAAACAAGCTTACAATTCTAATGAAGATCTCGAATTGCTATTTGAAACTGGACCGACTACAGTAGATTCAAATGTGGTATGCTTCTACCTTTTCACCGCAATAGCTTAAATTTGATGTTTTCGATATTCTATTAATCATACGTAGTACACACATTCAGGATGTGATAAAAATGTTTGAAGGTTGACTGTTGAAAATCTTTTACACTTGGTAAATAATATCTTTTTTTTTTTTTTGGCAAAATTGTATAATAGCTTATTGAACTTTTGTTACTTTTCAATCAACAATCTAAAGGCGTTCACAGTTCAGGGATACTCTATATTACGTTTGTTACTAAATTTACGCAATAATACGAGAGGGATCCAAGAATCCAGAGTGAATTACATATAAAAATTTACATCAAAAGATGAAAAAATAAATTGTCCTAGATAAATCCTCCCCCGATTCATGTATATTTAAGAAGTGAATAAGTTTATTAGGTAGCAGATGCAACAGAATTTCTTTAAGCTTTCTTTGAGGTTTTCTTTATATTTGATTTCTCCAGATAATTAGACTCTCTCATTTAAAAGCTTTTCTGATTTTATTTAGGACAAAAAACTTAATTACTTTTCTCTAAAGAGTGTAACTTATCATAGGGGTATGTGAAACTTATTTATGGCCTATACTTATGTATGATTGATAATATATTTTAGAGTATTAGTGATTTTGAATTGTAAAGGAAGTTTTGCATAATGTTCGAGGTTTATGATAAGCAATTAACACATGATTGTGAACTGATGTTTTTTTTGGGACTGTTGACTTGAAATATTCATTTGGCCATGCCCCTTAAGGGTTGAATTTCAAACCAAGTCATCCATTCTGTATATTGTCAATTGCCCACATTCATGTTATGTTAGTTTATAAATTGATGGAATTAGATTAAGTTTTGAACTAAATGATTGACTGACACACTAAGTAAAGTTTTTTCTAGAGTACTAATTTGTTGTTTCTCCAGCATGATCTAAACCATGATTATATCTGAACTTTAATGTTATTCTAGAGTTCGAAAAGTGTTTTAGATTGCTAGATTTTTTGTTTTGTTTTTTGAGCATATAAAGCAAGTGAGTTGTTATACATTTAGAAAGTGAATATTAAATGTGCATTCCAATTTATTTTCATACCACTATGTTTGTTTCGCGAGTTCTTATACATTGAGATGAGAATGTTATTAACCTGCCTCTACCCAGTAATCCATTATGTGTAATGTCAATTGCCTACATTCATGTTATTTCAATTTTTTTTTGCAGATTACTTCCGACACCGAAAAGGATGTGGTCGTTACTCCAAATTCAACTTTACAACGTCGAAAATTAGGAGAAGGAACATTAACTCCTAATGACAACGGCTCAACACAAGGATCATCTAATAAGAAATTAAAGTCGGTGAAAATTGAAAAGACATGAAAATTTTCAATTTTTCTTTTGAGGAGAACTCTTTGCTTGCTTTTTCATTTTTAGATAATATATGACTTTGCTTTGCTTTGATGTTGTGTTTACCTATTACACGTTTTGGATTTAAATCGTTGATTAAATTTTGATTCATAATAATGTGTGCTTCGATGACTACAATCTTTTGGTCAAAATATTTTGTGTATTCTCTAATGTTTTGTGTCCCAACCCAAATCTCACCATAATATATATATATATATATATATATATATATATATATATATAGTTATTTTTAGCAATGTTAACGCTGTTTAAATTTGATTGAAAACAAAGGAAGAGTGTGTCAATTATGGGATGGATGATTGCATATCAAAACAAATGTATGAAGCATAGCTTTTTTCAGCAATGTTAAGGTTCGTATTGTATTGATAACAAATGAAGAGTGTCAATTCTGGGACGTATGATTGCATACGTATATCGTTATTAATTCACAAATGATAAAATAGTGACATAAATCTCACATAAGTGATCATCCTTTATTCTGTATCCCTTATTCTTTAATTATGTACAACGATTTAGCATGATTTTATAGTGGGGAATCAGTATATAATAATTCCAAGGTATTAGGCATATACTGATGGACTCAATCGGTTCCGGGCCCGGGTCGGACCTAGGCCCGACCGGGCAAAAAAAAATTCTGTGAGGCCCGGGACCGGCCCGGAAGTAGACCGGTGCCGGTCTGAGCCCGGGCCGGGCCGAGTCAGGTTCGGTTATGATTTTTTTTTGTTTTCTTGATTATTTTTATCCCCTACCCCCCACCCATCCCACAAACCCATCTGAAAGACCCATTCCAGCCCATTTAAACCCAACCCAAAGCCCAAAACCAACAAAAAAAATGAAAGGCCCGAATCGGGCCCGGAACCGGCCGGGCCGGTTCTCACTTACCTAAGTCCGTACCCGACCCGATTACCCACCCAAACCGGACTTAGACCCGGTACCCGGTTCCCGGGCCGGGCCCGCACAGTACTGGGTCGGGCCGGGCCCGCACAGTACCGGGGCAGTTGGTCCAAACCGGGTCCAAGCATATAGGCTTATCACATACGTAGTTCATACCTTTCTTTTATCAATTCCAACCTTTAGATGATATATGGTGCTCCTTGAGATTTTTGTGTAATATGCGATGAGTGAGATTTAGGATGTTTTCTTTTGGACGGTTTTCAATCCCAGACCAGATCAGATCAAACTAGACCAACAAATTTAAGTAAAAAAAAAAAACATCCCTAAACAGAAAGAACCAAATTTTGTTTACCCCTCCAAAGAGGGTGAACATCACCCTCACCCTATTGGGATGCCACACGGATGACAATTCTTTTAAATTTTGCAATTGTTTAACTTTATCATTTTCGCTTTAAATTTTTCACAAAATGAAATAACATTTAACCTTTTTATGATCTCTCATGTGATATCAATATTGTATATGTAACATTAAAAAACAAACTTGGCCAAAAATAGATTTAATAAAAAAAGAGTTTCTTTTTAAATTTTTTTAAAAGAAAAACATAATTTTAATGCCAAACGACATGAGTTGAAGGGTTGGGTGATGTCCACACTCCTTAGAGGGGATGAACAAAATCGGACTCTTAAACAGATCATATCATATCAGACCAAATTTAAATATATCAGATCGGACTTGGATAGTCATAAATATATAGAATGCAGAAGTTTACGAGACTAGACCAATTAAAACCACATCATACATGACTTAAATAACCAGATCAGGTCAGAACACACCACTTTTTTTTATTCCAATTAAAACATCTAAATTAAGATACAAATTTTTTAATATTAATAACTATGATTATTGCGTATGCAATAAAATATGGTGACAACAAAGGCCTGAAATTATAATAGGGCCGAAACCTTTGCAGCCCTAAATCTATACAATTATGTTTCTTTGTTAGTAGTACGAAGTATACATTCCATATACTCCATAAGTCCATATACTCCTCCAATCCTCCTTGCGGCTGCTTCCTTTATTCTGCAAGTCACGGCCGAAGTACGGATATACAACCTTCTGTGTCTCTCTTCTCTTTTGCAAATCTGCTCAAGTCACAATCACCTTTTTGTCTTCAAGTTAACAAATCCAGGTACGTAGTTATTCATTCATTTTGTTTGTTAGATAGTATATTAATATTTTATTTATTTATTTATTGAAGGAGACTTCCATGTGAACAAAGCAGAGCGAGACGTTGTCGTTCAAACAAAGTCAGGAGCTTTTCAATTCATGACAGAGTTAAACCCTTCATTTCTGGGATTGCAATACCCCTTATTATTCCCGTACGGTCAGGATGGATACAGAGAGGATGTTAGATTGACTCGTGCGAACGATGAGACAGAGCGAGGAAGGAAGCATGTCACACAGAAAGGCTCCAGGACCGGAATAATGATACATCTTTCATATTGCGATCAAAACGTCTATTTCAACAATTTCTGGTGGATGGATATACAATGATGGAATCGGCTCGATTGCAATTTATTCGCCAGCATAAGAAGGAATTAAGAAGTGACTTATACAGTGGCTTGGCTAATGCAGTTGGGCGGGGCGAGACTAATGCAAGAAGGGTGGGTCAATCGATTGTGTTACCTAATTCCTTCACATGGAGCACACGTTATATGATGCAGAATTATCAAGATGCGATGGCAATATGTAGATGGGCAGGGTATCCACAGTTATTCATAACATTCACATGTAATCCTAAATGACCAGAGATTATGTGCTTCGTTAGTGACAGAGGTTTGAATTCAGAAGACAGGCCGAACATCCTTTGTATGATATTTAAAATGAAGTTGGACCTACTAATAAAATATTTGAAGCAAAATAAGATATTTGGTGATGTCAAAGCGGGTAATAATTATAACCTTTTACATATTACTATTTTCAATTCACTACAACTAACTTAGCTTTTAAATGTAAACATGTATTACTTCTAACAATTTCGATATTAGTTTTTTTTCAATTAAAATAAATATTAGACTTTTCAATTTGATCTAAATTGCATGGTAAGAGTATATTTTTTAATACTTAATTTTTATGTATCCCAATATTTATTTATTTTTCAACGCAACTGTTATAGCAGTTTATAAAATCAAACTACATGATAAAAAAATATACATGTTAATATTTGATAGGTTTCATTTATGATTGGCATTTAACAAAATATTTTCTCGATGCAGTTGTCTACACTATCGAATTTCAGAAGCGTGGTTTGCCTCATGCCCATATAGTCTTGTGGGTAAATCAGAAAGGCAAGAGAATATCACCCTCATAGATTGATGAGATTATATCAGCGGAGATACCTGATGAGGAGTCTGACCCGGATTATTACAATGCAGTCAAAGAACTTACGATGCACGGTCCTTGCGGTCCAGCAAACAAGTCAGCACCATGCATGGAGAAAAATGTTTGCACCAAACAATTTCCGAAACGGTTTGTTCAGCAAACAACCATTGATGGGGATGGCTATCCAGTTTATAGACGACGACCTGATGGGAGAAGTGTCACAAAGAATGGGGTTGATCTGGACAATAGATATGTGGTTGCACATAATCGTACACTGCTGTTGAAATATGGTGCACACATAAATGCTGAGTGGTGTAACCAAACAAGGTCGGTCAAATATCTTTTCAAGTACATAAATAAGGGTGACTACCGTATCACAATTGAATTTTCTGAAACAGTGGATGGCTCCAAAGAGAAACAAGTTGACGAGATTAAAATGTACTACGATTGTCGCGACATCTCGGCATGTGAGGCTGCATGGAGAATATTTGGGTATCCTATCCATTATCAGGATGTGTCATTGGAACGTCTCTGTTTTCATTTGCCAGACGAGTAACCAGTATATTACCACCCGGATGAACCGGTGGAAATTGTTCTTGGAAAATGCACAAATCAGGACAAAAAATTCTTGGCTTGGATGAAGGCAAATGAAAAATATCCAGAGGCACGAGAGTTGACATACGTTGAATTTCCAACTAGGTTTACCTGGAAACAAACAACCAAGGAGTGGGTGCCAAGGAAAAAGGGCTTTTCAATTGGTCGTGTGCTTTTTGTTCGTCCCGGAGCAGGAGAAAAGATCTATTTGAGGACGCTACTAAATGTTGTTAAGGGTGCTACATCCTTTGAAGACTTGCGCAGTTATAATGGGACATTATTTCCCAGCTTTAGGGATGCTTGCTATGCCTGTGGGTTGCTAAAAGATGATAAGGAATATATTGATGGGAGCACTGAGGCAAGTCATTGGGCATCATCATATGCACTGCGTAATTTGTTTGTTACTCTTCTGCTGTCAGATGTGTTGTCAAAGCCACAATTGGTATGGGAGAAGTGCTGACAATACTTTTAAGAGGATATACTCTATAACATTAGAAGGAATCTCAATGATCTTGGTATGTAACTAAATTAACTGGTTCATTTCTGACTAAGTTTCCGTGAATGAATTTTTATCATATTATAAATATTTATAATAAAATATATGTATATACAGTACCAAATTTAATTTATATTTTATTCTTATAATATGATTTTAGTCTATTAGGATGTAAATTTTGACATATTTTTTGTATAGATTGCAATTAACACTATTTTCATACATTAAATATGAAAATTATTCTATCATGTTCTATATTTTGTTTTGATGCATTAAAAGGAATGAATTAGTATGGAACGCATATGTTATTTATTAGATGATTATGGATTGTTCAAATAAATACTTAAATGAATTAAAATATTTATTTCAATGAGATATAATATGACTAATTGATTTAATTATAACTAAGTCTCCGTGCATGAGTTTATATCATATTACAAATGCAAATAATAAAATATATGTATATAGAGCATCAATTGAGCACAAATGAAGTGAAAAAGTATTGCTTGGTCGAGATCGAGAAGCTGTTGAGGATAAGGTGCAGATCACTACGAGATTTTGTGGGAATGCCAATGCCACCTGAATCCGATATTCCTTCCATTGAAGACACCATAATTCATGAAG